TTAATACAATAAGATTGTTTTTGCACAACAGATAAATAGGGCACAAAAAATAGGGATTCAGGAATTATTTGTTTTAATTTTAGTTAAAAATCATGCTGACCCCAGTCATTTCTATCATGCTGCTATACATGTTTTGGCTTACTCACAAGTTAAAATATAATTTCAGATTGTGAAAACTGGCATCTGAGAAAGAGAAAAACTTGCAATATTGTGCAATATTGAAGCTCACTGGACAGTATTTAAAGAAAAGAGCTTCAGGTCAGAGAAAGGTCATGCTGTACGTCCATCTCTTACGTGTCTCTGCTCAGGATGTGTCATCATATTTGAAAATCAAAACACAGCAGTGGATAGTGGCACAAAGTGCTCTGTTCAAATCTATGAATTTACAAGGCTGCAGTGTCCCCTGCTGGCTGCTGGCAGAACAGCTGATGTGGCAGAAATGAGCAGTTGAGATTGAATAAGCAGCTCCATTCACAAGACTGGGGTCAAATACTTTACTTCTCAAGAGCCTCACTCAAGACGAGAAACAGTGAGTTTAAAATGCACCATGCAAAAAGATATTTTAATACCAGAATTTAGACCATCTCTAGGGGCTACTTGCTGTGAGATGCACATCAGCAGAGGCATTGTGGGAAAAACACCTGCTTAAAAACGAGCCGGCCCTGTTTGCCATCGCAGAGTGAGAGTTGATGAATAATGAAACAGAACTTTGAGGGTTTAATAAAACAATAAGCCACGAGAAACTGCATGTTAAAGTGGTTTTACCACATTTAAAAAGCACTGTTAGGCACGAAGCAATGTGCACTTAAAACTCCCCTAACTGAATCGCTATAATACAAGGCTTTGGTAGACTTATTATTTTTAAAAAGGCCAGATATCCATGTTCAATAAATAATTACATTTTTATTATTAAAAGAGTTTGCAAAGGCTGTTTTAGAGGTGCTTTAAATGTGCCTCATTAAATCAGATTTTAACGCTAACATTTTGTTTTGCAATTAACTGACAGTAAAAGGGAAGTCGTGGCCTAATGGTTAGAGAGTCGGACTCGTAACCCAAAGGTTGCGGGTTCGAGTCTCGTACCGGCAGGGATTGTCGGTGGGGGGAGTGAATGTACAGCGCTCTCTCCCACCTTCAATACCACGACTGAGGTGCCCTTGAGCAAGGCACCGAAGCCCCAACTGCTCCCCAGGCGCCGCAGCATAAATGGCTGCCCACTGCTCCGGGTGTGTGTTCACGGTGTGTGTGTGTTCACTACTGTGTGTGTGCACTTTGGATGGGTAAATGCAGAGCACTAATTCCGAGTACGGGTCACCATACTTGGCCACATGTCACGTCACGTCACTTTCACTTTGATATTTTGAAATCATGGCCACACTCAACTTAAAAATGATTTAAAATCTTAGAAAAACTCTAATCCCATTAAAACAGGAAAAGGCAAGAAAGCTGATATGAATGTAATTGTTCGCTAATGCGTGGTATTGTTCATTCATATGCATATGCACACACTAATTAGGGCTGGGCGATATGGACAAAAAAAGAAAATAATAAAATTTTTCATATCAGTCAATATCGATAATTATCACGATAAATTTCAAATCTTTGTTTCTTTCAAGTTTAAAGCCAGATTTTTTGCTCCTAAGTGAAAGCTGTAGTAACCAGACCATTAATTGTGGTTTAAAAGTACTGTTTATGGTTAGAACATGACAAACACGTCATGTTTTTGAATTCTTTACACTTTTCCAGTCATTTTTCCTTAACAAAATATCTTAATAGAAAAATGTATTTCTAGTTTCTGCATGTTAGAATGAGTGATATTGTTTCAAATCATGAAACCGGTTTGTGTTGCCTGACTTTGATGATGTGTTTCTTCAGCACAGTTTGCAGTGCAGGCTGCAATATTAATATTACATTTTCTTGTCTCTTAGATATGCACATTTGACAGTAGCTTGAGTTAGGATGCAGATGTAAATTTATGTTCATTATCAAAAACAGTAACATCTGTAAAAATTGTAACAGCCTCATTTTTATATGGTGAAATTTAATTATTCTGACCGTTCCAGTTTTATTAAAATTAACCACTGGTCTTCCATAGTTAATGTAAAATGTAAGTATATGGTTTCTAGGTATTTGTATTAAAAACAGTTGTCTAAAAACATTAAGTATAAATGCTCAAAAGCTTAGCTTAATCACAAAAAGTACTGTAATTATATTCATTGCTCATTTAATACATGTCTACATTAATAATATAATTAAATTCGATATGAATATCCCACATTTCTGCCACAATACCATGGTGCAGTTAGTGTTACTACAGTAAATCCATGGTAAATGATGGCGATTTGTAGATTGAAAAATTATTATAAAAAAAAAAATGTATGCAATTAATCATGGCCAGGCCCACACATATATCCATCTGAGAAATTCAAGCTTAACTTAAAAAAAAAACAAAAAAACTTAAAATACATTTTAATGAATTATTTTATTTAAATGGGTTTTTAATGCACAAAGTTTTTGCGCATATGTTTTGGCTTTTTCACAAGTTACAACATAATAACAGATTGTGAGAATTGCACTCTGAGACCATAAATTATAAATTTTTTATCAAATTAAAAAATTACAAAAGAAAAAATAGAATTCATTTGAATTCATTTAAAATTCATTCAAATTTTTTTATTTTTGTTATTTTTGTTTTAAAACTTAACTTAAATAATTAAAAAAATTTGTTCATGATTAAATCATAATATTAAATTACATTTATTATTAAATTCTTTAATACAATAATAAATACGATTTAAAAAAACATATTTTCATAAAGGCACGTCATGCCGATATTTCACTCATTCTGCTATACATGTTTTGTCATATTTACAGGTTAACATATAATTTCAGATTGTGAAAATTGCCCTCTGAGACCATAAAGATTATAATAACTTGCAATACTGAAGTGCAAATATTAGAAAATATTAGTTAAAAAAATTGGTCAGAACATTATTCAATAAAATTTAATCATTTAAAAATGTAATTATTAAGCCTTTTTTAATACAATAAGATTGTTTTTGCACAACAGATAAATAGGGCACAAAAAATAGGGATTCAGGAATTATTTGTTTTAATTTTAGTTAAAAATCATGCTGACCCCAGTCATTTCTATCATGCTGCTATACATGTTTTGGCTTACTCACAAGTTAAAATATAATTTCAGATTGTGAAAACTGGCATCTGAGAAAGAGAAAAACTTGCAATATTGTGCAATATTGAAGCTCACTGGACAGTATTTAAAGAAAAGAGCTTCAGGTCAGAGAAAGGTCATGCTGTACGTCCATCTCTTACGTGTCTCTGCTCAGGATGTGTCATCATATTTGAAAATCAAAACACAGCAGTGGATAGTGGCACAAAGTGCTCTGTTCAAATCTATGAATTTACAAGGCTGCAGTGTCCCCTGCTGGCTGCTGGCAGAACAGCTGATGTGGCAGAAATGAGCAGTTGAGATTGAATAAGCAGCTCCATTCACAAGACTGGGGTCAAATACTTTACTTCTCAAGAGCCTCACTCAAGACGAGAAACAGTGAGTTTAAAATGCACCATGCAAAAAGATATTTTAATACCAGAATTTAGACCATCTCTAGGGGCTACTTGCTGTGAGATGCACATCAGCAGAGGCATTGTGGGAAAAACACCTGCTTAAAAACGAGCCGGCCCTGTTTGCCATCGCAGAGTGAGAGTTGATGAATAATGAAACAGAACTTTGAGGGTTTAATAAAACAATAAGCCACGAGAAACTGCATGTTAAAGTGGTTTTACCACATTTAAAAAGCACTGTTAGGCACGAAGCAATGTGCACTTAAAACTCCCCTAACTGAATCGCTATAATACAAGGCTTTGGTAGACTTATTATTTTTAAAAAGGCCAGATATCCATGTTCAATAAATAATTACATTTTTATTATTAAAAGAGTTTGCAAAGGCTGTTTTAGAGGTGCTTTAAATGTGCCTCATTAAATCAGATTTTAACGCTAACATTTTGTTTTGCAATTAACTGACAGTAAAAGGGAAGTCGTGGCCTAATGGTTAGAGAGTCGGACTCGTAACCCAAAGGTTGCGGGTTCGAGTCTCGTACCGGCAGGGATTGTAGGTGGGGGGAGTAAATGTACAGCGCTCTCTTCCACCTTCAATACCACGACTGAGGTGCCCTTGAGCAAGGCACCGAAGCCCCAACTGCTCCCCAGGCGCCGCAGCATAAATGGCTGCCCACTGCTCCGGGTGTGTGTTCACGGTGTGTGTGTGTGTTCACTGCTGTGTGTGTGCACTTTGGATGGGTTAAATGCAGAGCACTAATTCCTAGTATGGGTAACCATACTTGACCACATGTCACGTCACTTTAAAAACATTTATATTTGAATAAGATACTTACACTTCAGATAAATGCTGTTGTTTTAAACTTTCTATTCATCAAAGCATACTGACAAAAATATTTACATTAAAAATTAATTAAGAAGCACAACTGTTTTCAAAATTGCTAATAATAAATGTTTCTTGGGCAGCAAATCATTATATCAGAATGATTTCTGAAGGATCATGTGACACTGAGGACTAGAGTAATGATGCTGAAAATTCAGCTTTGCATCACAGTAATAAATTTTATTTTAGAATAATTTAAAATAGAAAGCAATTCTTTTAAATTGTAATAATATTTCAAAATATTACTGTATTTTTTAGATCAAATAATTGCAGCACTGAACTAAAACCTTAAAAAAATAACTAAAACTGAAATGAAAAAATAATAAAAACTATATGGACATATTTTTTTTTAAAAATACTAAAAATGATCAACAAAAATTACTAAACTGTGACTGATTCTAAATAATAATAATACTATAGCAGTATCTCAATGGTACTAAAATAACACATGGATAGAACTTCCAGAAAACAAATTTGATCCTCCACAGCAGAGAACATCATCTCAGAAAGAGCAGATCCTTTGTGTGCAAGAAATTACCTTGCCGTAGTAAGAGATGGCCTCCTTGTATTTCTCGATGATGTCCTCCTGACTCAGGCAGTTCTTGGCTCGGCCGATCTCAGTGCTCGTGTCTGCACTGATGCCATTGGTCGTCAGAGCACCTGGACAGGAAAACAAGAGAAACGACCATGAGAAATGCACTATGAAAGATTAAGAAAACAAGCCAATTCTGTACTCTGCATGCCACTGTAACCCTTCCATTCACATTACCTTATTTCTAAATGCTATAAAGCCCACAATAACATTAAAGATTTTTGCATTATGCAGCTCTGAGATATAAGATGCTGCAAATGAGTTCATTTGTCAGATGCAAGACCTGGAACTCGACAAGCAATCTCTTGAATTAAATATGAAAGTCATCAAGAAACATTTTTTTTATAGGAATGAGAAAAATAATCACACGCTCAGGATGTTTATTAAAGAAACAAGAGAACAAATTGACCCTATTTACTTTATTAATCCATGTCCCTGGTCGCATTGGGAACGATTCATCAGTGCATCATTTTTGATTTAACTTTAATAACCTCCTGGAAAGGATTTTCATAAATACTATTCACAAACTGCACTTTGCAAATCTGTATTTTGGGCCAAGAACTGTTGGTTTTACCTGGCCAACCGCATTAAAGAAATGAGAAATCAATTAAAAACAATTAAATCTTTTTATTTTATTATGTAAATTGAATCTCTTATCTTTATCACAAGAAATACAAATGACAGCAAAACACTGACCTCTAGTGGCAGTAAATAGCAGATGTTGTAAAGTTGTACTGTACTGTAAAATCCTGCAAGTCTAAATTAAATCCCCATGTCAAACCCATTAGTTACTACTAAAAAATTATGGTTAAGCGTTATCATCAAAAACATAAACCAATTTGATCAGTAAGTATCTGCACTGCTGATTTTTATAATGGATGTTTGAATCAGTCAAAAATCTATAAGAAAACACACAAAAATTCCCATCTAATGATAACAAGAGTGTTAGAAATCCAGCTGAAATCAAAAGTAAGAATTCAAATCCATGCACTGAAATCACTGTAGATATTTATTTTCATTGCTGTCAGATCAGAAACACAAAAGGCCACCCAAACACCTGCACACCTGCACAAGCACAACCAAGTAACTAAAACTACGTCACAATTGCACAAACGGGCAGGAACAAGAGCCATATCTTGAGCTACACATGTGCTTTACTGTACCTGGATCAATGAGAACTTCTTGAGCGCCTGAAGACGGACAGATAAACAAACAGAGAGGGAGAGACAGAGAGAGAGAGAGAACCTGGTTCACTCTTGGGCACAAGCAGCAAACAGTGTTAGTAGTACAGCACATATCAGGGCACAAAATGGTCTGTTATGATCCTGACATTGCTGAATGATCATAAAGCTGTCTATAGAGCAGTGGGGATGAGCAGACATGCAGCACGACTAAGAAGTGATGGGCTCGTTCTAAATAATGACCATTAGCAGACACTGAGGAAGCATGCAAGCTTTAAAAAAACAATATTCATTCTCTTAGTTCAGAATATATTAACAAAACAGTTTGTTTCTTTCTTTGTAAGAAACAAATCCATCATTGAGGCATTTTAACTTTAAATTGTCACTTCCAGCTAAAACATGAGTCCATAATCTATAATAATGCTTCATCCAGTGAAAAAGTCCGTCCTCCTCTGTTGCCCTCTCACATCAAAATCCACCGATATATTTGTTTAGAATTGTTTTTGTTTGTAAACGGTGCTTGCTCTGTGCATATTTCTCTCCCGATTCAACTTTTTCACAGGAGAAAGCAATATTATGGACAGAGGACTCGTATTTTAGCTGGAAGCAATGGTTTGAGATGGATTTGTTTCTTACAACACACAGCTTTCGCTTCACAAGACATTAATAGAGTCATGTGGATTACTTGTGAATAATTGCTATGTTTTTATCAGCTGTTTGGACTCCCATTCTGACGGCACCCATTCACTGCAGAGTGAATTTACTGGTGCACAAAGTGATGTAGTGCTACATTTCTCCAAATCTGTTCCCATAAACAAATAAACTCATCTTGGATGGCCTGAGGATGAGTAAAAAAATTTGTGAACTATTCCTTTAAGTCTTACTTAAAATATGTGAATGTCACTGGATTAGATATTAAAATATCAAACCAAAATGCATCTGCACAAATGCTGTGTTTTTGCTCTTCATTTTGAACAGCATCTATTTTTATCATTCATCATACACATAATTGTTGTGAAATATTTTACTTGGAAAGTGTCTATTTGTTGAAAAATAAATGCCATTTGATTTGATAATTTGTTATGCACCAAAATGAAATTCATTTCAAGTGTGCAAATACTTTTTGGAACTACTGTAGATGCAAATCTGTAGCAAAAACCCCACCACAGCGCATTAATTAGCAAATGAAACATGTAAACGAATATGCTTATTTATTAATGGAGTTAAAAGACAATGTTATAGAGTTTAATATAGAGGTTAATATGAGCAAATGAATATGATTTTTTTTTCATTATTATTTATTTAAAAACAGAAAAGAAAAATGGAAACAAAAAGAAAGGAAAAAAATTTCAAAAAGAAAAAAATACAGAAAAAGAAAAAGGAAGGAAGGAAGGAAGGAAGGAAGGAAAGAAGGAAGA